AACATAAGAATCGTATGAAGATTACTACAATAAATGTAATGTATGCACAAAATTTTAATGCCACGAAATGCACATATATTTTAAACATATTTATAAAAAAATTTCAAAATTGCAGTTTGAAACCATGAAGATAACCATGAAGATCAAAGATTCTAAAACTAAAGAGATTAGCCTGTAATAATTTAATAAATGTAAATAGGACATATGATCATATACTAATTAAATATCATGAGAAACTGACATTGTTTATTGTTCACATTGACCTGAATAGTAATATTATTTTTAAAAATTAAAACAATTGATTGTATGAATATAAAATCATTACAATAAATTAAATGTATGCAAAAAAATGTATCTACATATAAAAACCGTGAACATGTATTTTTATAAACATGTATTACAAAATTAAATAAAAAAATAATAATAAATAATCATGAACTTAAAAACATAAAAATTCTAAGACTTTAGGAGATTATAATAATAAGTTTATAAATGTGAATATCTCAAGACAATTATCAATGAGAAACTATATACACTTTTGTTTAGCACACATATTATACATAAATACATAAAAAGCCACAAAAAATGCAGGTATACACGCATGTGCTTTTGTAAAAGTGTATTGTCTCAGTCCTTTGTGTCTCCTTCAGCAGGCATCCTGTTTTTGGATAGAAAAAGATCAAAGATTAGGACAGTGCAAACCATAGACTGTAAAAAAAAAATATATGGACGTAGTGTCCATGACGTCACCCCGTAGGTTTCTGAAAAGCATTTTTGAAGCCTAAAGTGGATGGGGCTTAATAATTAATTATAATTCATTTGTAATATTATTATGTCATTAAACGTTTTACGTAAATATGCTATGAAAGCAAAAAATGTTGGCAAACAGCAATGCCGTTAACATCTTGCTTAAACAACTGTATATGACGAGTGATGTGTCTCATTTATAAAAAAAACTATTGACAGTTTGTGAATAGATCACAATGTAGACTGAGGAATAAACTGAGTCCTCAGTCTTCACTCATGTCGGTTTCGCAAATGTAAACAGACACATAGGGATCACACTTGGATGTTGGATCGTCTGAATATTACCTTTCTGCTCGTCTCCTCAGATCTCTTAACTTTTGTGTCATGCAGACCTTGATCTCAGTGCCTCTGATGCCTGGGTGCCTCTTTTTGACATAGTCTGTAAGAAATGAGATTGATTACATTAAAATTTGAAAACAAGTTTGTCATGACGTGACATAACTGCCAGATTCAAACTGTGCTTTCCACGCTATGGCTGTCGCTGACAGACGCGCTCAGCGCTTGTCATATAATAACTATTGATAAAAGATATTCAGACATGCTTACCAATTATTAGCTGCACCTTTTGTAGGTCAAATCATCTGACTTTAATGAGAAACATGACCTAAAAAGTCAGTGTTTTTTATATTTGAATACTATACATTCTTACAATGTAAACATCCTAAACATTTCTGATTATTATCAATGTTAAAAACAGTTATGCTAATTAATGCGTTTGTGTAAACCATTGTAACAGTTTAAACCATTTTTTCCCCTCCAGGATTCATTGTTAAATAGACCACAAACATATGAAGGGTAGTTTACACTAATGTTCAAACATTTGGGGTCAATGATAGATTTAAAAATTAATAGAACAAAAAAAGAAGAAATTTTTACTCCGCAAGGATGCATTACATTAACAAATATATTCAAATAAATGCTGTTATTTAAACCTTTCTATTCATCAAATAATCCTGAAAAACACAAAAATATGAAGCAGCACAACTGTTTTCAACACTGATAATAATCATAAATGTTTTTTTATTTATTGAGCTTCTTCGGCTCACCTGTGTCCTAACGTTACTTCTCCGGCAGCAGCTTTCTTCAGAAATGTTGAAGTAGTGGAGCTTTCTCTCTGTTATGGGTTATTTCGTTACTACTGAAATCACAGAACATTTAATCAAAATGTGTTTAACGTTACCATTGAGCTAACGTTAGTTTCGGCCAATTGCTCCTGAAAGTCCTGAAACATCACCGATACGTTACGTTTACGTTAAATAAATTAGCTCACTGTAAAACCCTTACAAAACCTCTCATTTACACATAAGAGGTGATTAAAAGAAACTTTAATAAATAAAAGTTCAACCGATTTAACGTGGATGTTAGTTAGCCTTGCTAACGTTAGCAGCTACCTCTTTAGCCTTGCTAAGTTACCTCTAGGGACTTTTTCCGAAGAGACTACACCATGTCGATAAAGTACATTTTTAACAGAATCGTGTCAATTACAAGTAGGAGAAATGTCGAAAACAGTTGTGAGTATTATTCGTGTGCTTTTAGAGAGTAATCTCACCTGAAAAAAGCCGTGAAAAGTTGAAACAACAGCGAGAGAGGGAGTTTTGTTGTTTACCAGTAGCAGTGGTCCCGCGCCGTTTCCATGGCAACTCTGCGCGCCGGCCGCTCCAGTGTTTGAGAGACTCGAAAGTTCACGTGCACGGCATTAATGATTAAGCACGTCAAAATCATGCAGCACGTAAATACATATACATACAATAAAGATGTCCTGAAAGTGCTTTGTAAATAGAATATGAAAGCAGTAGCCTATTGATTATTTCAAATAACATTATTGTCGTTGAATATTCAACTGTAAACCTGGACTTTCACAGAGAGCTTTGGTTATTAAATTAAACCTATAAATAACCTGCAGGGAACGTTCTGGAAAGGTTCTCTTTAGGTTACAAAATTAAACCTAAAAATAACCAGCAGGGAACGTTCCCGGAACGTTCTCTTTAGGTTATAAAATTAAACCTAAAAATAACCTGCAGGGAACGTTCCCGGAACGTTCTCTTTAGGTTATAAAATTAAACCCAAAAATAACCTGCAGGGAACGTTCCCGGAACGTTCTCTTTAGGTTATAAAAATGAAACCTAAAAATAACCTGCAGGGAACGTTCTGGGAAGGTTCTCTTCAGGTTACAAAATAAACCTAAAAATAACCTGCAGGGAACGTTCCCGGAACGTTCTCTTTAGGTTATAAAAGGCTCTTTAGGTTCTTAGAACGTTCTTACCCAGTAAACACAGAACGTTCCCATAACGTTCCCATATGGTTCCCATTTGGTTATTTTTTTGGGAACCAAATAAGAACGTTCTAAGAACGTTCTCTGTAGGTTTTTTTTTAATAACCTAAAGAGAACGTTCCGGGAACGTTCCCTGCAGGTTATTTTTAGGTTTAATTTTGTAACCTAAAGAGAACCTTCCCAGAACGTTCCCTGCAGGTTATTTTTAGGTTTAATTTTTATAACCTAAAGAGAACGTTCCGGGAACGTTCCCTGTAGGTTATTTTTAGGTTTAATTTTGTAACCTAAAGAGAACCTTCCCAGAACGTTCCCTGCAGGTTATTTTTAGGTTTAATTTTATAACCTAAAGAGAACGTTCCGGGAACGTTCCCTGCTGGTTATTTTTAGGTTTAATTTTGTAACCTAAAGAGAACCTTCCCAGAACGTTCCCTGCAGGTTATTTATAGGTTTAATTTAATAACCTATAAAGCTCTCTGTGAAAGTCCAGGTTAGTTGAATATTCAACGACAATAATGTTATTTGAAATAATCAATAGGCTACAGCTTTCATATTCTATTTACAAAGCACTTTCAGGACATCTTTATTGTATGTACATATACGTGCTGCTTGATTTTGACGTGGTTTATCATCAATGCCGTGCACGTGAACTTTCGAGTCTCTCAAACACTGGAGCGGCCGGCGCGCAGAGTTGCCATGGAAACGGCGCGGGACCACTGCTACTGGTAAACAACAAAACTCCCTCTCGTCTCGCTGTTGTTTCAACTTTTCACGGCTTTTTTCAGGTGAGATTACTCTCTAAAAGCACACGAATAATACTCACAACTGTTTTTGACATTTCTTCTACTTGTAATTGACACGATTCTGTTAAAAATGTACTTTATCGACATGGTGTAGTCTTCGGAAAAAGTCCGTTAGAGGTAACTTAGCAAGGCTAAAGAGGTAACGTTAACGTTAGCAAGGCTAACATCCACGTTAACTCGGTTGAACTTTTATTTATTAAAGTTTCTTTTAATCACCTCTTATGTGTAAATGAGAGGTTTTGTAAGGGTTTTACTGGGAAGTGAGCTAATTTATTTAACACAAACGTAAACGTAACGTATCGGTGATGTTTCAGGACTTTTAGGAGCAATTGGCCGAAACTAACGTTAGCTCAATGGTAACGTTAAACACATTTTGATTAAATGTTCTGTGATTTCAGTAGTAACGAAATAACCCATAGCAGAGAGAAAGCTCCACTAAGTTACTTCAACATTTCTGAAGAAAGCTGCTGTCGGAGAAGTAACGTTTACGTTAGGACACAGGTGAGCCGAGGAAGCTCAATAAATAAAAAACATTTATGATTATTATCAGTGTTGAAAACAGTTGTGCTGCTTTGTGTTGTTCAGGATTATTTGATGAATAGAAAGGTTTAAATAACAGCATTTATTTGAATATATTTGTTAATGTAATGCATCCTTGCTGAGTAAAAATATGTATTTCTTCTTTTTTTGTTCTATTAATTTTTAAATCTATCATTGACCCCAAATGTTTGAACATTAGTGTAAACTACCCTTCATATGTTTGTGGTCTATTTAACAATGAATCCTGGAGGGGAAAAATGGTTTAAACTGTTCCAATGGTTTACACAAACGCATTTTACCCCTAAACTCTGGAATACCTATGAAGGTAAAAGAGTAACAAGACTCGAGCACAAACAATAAATACTTGTATGCTAAAATTTACACTCACAGCTCCAACGTGAAAACTTCATCTAATATGCAATAACGTTGAAAAGATCACAGTTTCTGTCCTGACGAAAATTTTCTATCTTATTTTTTGCTTTGCAGAACAAGTTTGGAGTTAACCAGAACTCTTATAGACTCCATCTTGTCTTCAAAGAGATGGCAACATGAACGGGAAAAAAGGGGTTGTTGGTGAAAATAGAGTCTTGACCTACAAAAGGTGCAGCTAATAATTGGTAAGCATGTCTGAATATCTTTTATCAATAGTTATTATATGACAAGCGCTGAGCGTGTCTGTCAGCGACAGCCATAGCTTGGAAAGCACAGTTTGAATCTGGCAGTTATGTCACGTCATGACAAACTTGTTTTCAAATTTTAATGTAATAAATCTCATTTCTTACAGACTGTCAAAAAGAGGCACCCAGGCATCGGAGGCACTGAGATCAAGGTCTGCATGGCACAAAAGTTAAGAGATCTGAGGAGACGAGCAGAAAGGTAATATTCAGACGATCCAACATCCAAGTGTGATCCCCATGTGTCTGTTTACATTTGCGAAACCGACATGAGTGAGGTCGGAGGATTATTCCTCAGTCTACATTGTGATCTATTCACAAACTGTCAATAGTTTTTTTTATAAATGATACGCATCACTCGTCATATACAGTTGTTTAAGCAAGATGTAAACGGCATTGCTGTTTGCCAACATTTTTTGCTTTCATAGCATATTTACGTAAAACGTTTAATGACATAATAATATTACAAATGAATAAGAATTAATTATTAAGCCCCATCCACTTTAGGCTTCGAAAATGCTTTTCAGAAACCTACGGGGTGACGTCATGGACACTACGTCCAAATATTTTTTTTTTTACAGTCTATGGTTTGCACTGTCCTAATCTTTGATCTTTTTCTATCCCAAAACAGGATGCCTGCTGAAGGAGACACAAAGGACTGAGACAATGCACTTTTACAAAAGCACACCACACACACACACGCACACATGCGTGTATACCTGCGTTTTTTGTGGCTTTTTATGTATTTATGTATAATATGTGTGCTAAACAAAAGTGTATATAGTTTCTCATTGATAATTGTCTTGAGATATTCACATTTATTCACATTTATAAACTTGTATTTTTATAATCTCCTAAAGTCTTAGAATTTATGTTTTCATGTTCATGATTATTTTTTATTATTTTTTATTTAATTTTGTAATACATGTTGTTTATAAAAATACATGTTCACGGCTTTTGTATATGAAGAGTTCAGATGCAAAAGCCTCTAAGTGTCATTTGAAATTTTCTTCTAAAATGATCATTTTTATCAAGCTTGTATATTTAAGTTCAGTAATTTCACTTAAATGGCAATGAAGATTGCGTATTAAATTGACATTTAAGTGAAATTACTGAACTTAAATACACAAGCTTGATAAAAATGGTCATTCTAGAACAAAATTTCAAATGGCACTTAGAGGCTTTTGCATCTGAACTCTTCATATAGATACATTTTTTGCATACATTCAATTTATTGTAATGATTTTATATTCATACAATCAATTGTTTTAATTTTTAAAAATAATATTACTATTCAGGTCAATGTGAACAATAAACAATGTCAGTTTCTCATGATATTTAATTAGTATATGATCATATATGTCCTATTTACATTTATTAAATTATTACAGGCTAATCTCTTTAGTTTTAGAATCTTTATCTTCATGGTTTCAAACTGCAATTTTGAATTTTTTTTTATAAATATGTTGTTTAAAATATATGTGCATGGCTTTTCGTGGCATTAAAATTTTGTGCATACATTACATTTATTGTAGTAATCTTCATACGATTCTTATGTTTTGGAAAAAATAAACAACATAGAAGATATTTTTTGTAGACTTATTTGTGTACAGGCATATCGGGATGTAGAGGTTAGGAGAACGTTCTGGGAACCTTTAGGGAACGTTCCGGGAACCTTTAGGGAACGTTCCCGGAACGTTCCGGGAACCTTTAGGGAACGTTCCGGGAACGTTCTGGGAATGTTCCGGGAACGTTCTGGGAACGTTCCAGAAAAGTTCCCGGAACGTTCCCCTAACCTAAAGGGAACGTTCTATTAACGTAAAGAAAACTTTCCTAGGTAACCAATAGGGAACGTTAGAAATGTTTGTTCTGAGAACGTTCTGAGAACGTTCTGGGAACCTGAAAGTAACGTTCTGGGAACCAAAAATTGTTAACTGGGTATTTGGTTCCCAAAAAAATAACCAAATGGGAACCATATGGGAACGTTAGGGGAACGTTCTGTGTTTACTGGGCTCCAGTAAGTAGGCTACACGTAAGTTTCTAAAATGGATTTACATAACCATATAACGTTACATCTTAAACACGCTTATTTAAAATGTCTATTTACATCTGAAATGAAAATATTGTTTAAGTATTGCAGATGAGCACATCCCAACATGAAAAATACATCTGAGTGATGTAACGTTATGTGTGCTATTATGAAGGATAATTCACTGTTGTCAACACTACTTACATTAGACAAATGTGCTGTTAATACACCGCGGTCAAGCCAGCCGCAGTTTGAAAATACACGGTCAAGCCAGCCGCTAAAAAAATAAGCGTGTGCGCCTATTACTATGAATACGGTAATTTCAGTCACAGCAGAGGAAGAACGCGCTTCAGAGCGCTTGAGTTGCCCAGATCGATATTTCTTTCTTTCTTTCTTTCTTTCTTTCTTTCTTTCTTTCTTTCTTTCTTTCTTTTTCTCCTTCTTTATCTTTCTTTCTTTATCTATCTATCTATCTATCTATCTTTTTCTTTATTTCTATCTATATATTCATAACCTTTCTTTCTTTCTTCCTATCTATCTTTTTCTCTTTCTTTCTTTATCTTTCTTTCTTTCTATCTATCTATCTGTTTGTCTGTCTGTCTGTCTGTCTGTTACAAAAAAAAATTGTAATAAGAAAAAAACTAATGGCCAATTCTTATAGGTGACGTCCCATACAGTATCACCTCATATCAAACAATCTTATTGTAGCATTTTGGAGAAATGTCCCCTTATTCAAATTCAGAGGGCCATAAATACCTCATTTCTAATAAGTAGAAAAAACGAACGGTCAGTTCTTACACGGGACGTCCCATACAGTATACGCACCTCATATCAAACAATTTTACTGTAGCAATTTGGAGAAATGTCCCATTGTTCTACTTCAGAGGGCCATAAATACCTCATTTCTAATAAGTAGAAAAAACTAATGGTCAGTTCTTATACGGGACGTCCCATACAGTACACCCACCTCATATCAAACAATTTTACTGTAGCATTTTTGAGAAATGTCCCCTTATTCAACTTCAGAGGGCCATAAATACCTCATTTCTAATAAGTAGAAAAAACGAACGATCAGTTCTTACACGGGACGTCCCATACAGTACACACACCTCATATCAATCCATTTTACTGTAGCATTTTGGAGAAATGTCCCTTTATTCGACTTCAGAGGGCCATAAATACCTCATTTCTAATAAGTAGAAAAAAATAATGGTCAGTTCTTATACGGGATGTCCCACACAGTACACAAACCTCATATCAAACCATTTGACTGCAGCATTTTGGAGAAATGTCACATTATTCGACTTCAGAGGCCCATAAATACCTCATTTCTAATAAGTAGAAAAAACGAACGGTCAGTTCTTATACGGGACGTCCCACACAGTAGACACACCTCATATCAAACCATTTTACTGTAGCATTTTGGAGAAATGTAACATTATTCGACTTTAGAGGCCCATAAATACCTAATTTCTAATAAGTAGTAAAAAATAACTGTCAGTTCCTGTAGGGGACGTCCCATACAGTATACGCACCTCGTATCAAACCATTTTACTGTAGCATTTTGGAGTAATGTTACATTATTTGACTTCAGAGGCTGATAAATTCCTCATTTCTAATAAGTAGAAAAAAACAACGATCACTTCTTGTAGGCAACGTCCCATACAGTACACACACCTCATATCAAACAATTTTACTGTAGCATTTTGGAGAAATGTTCCATTATTCGACTTCAGAGGGCCATAAATACCTCATTTCTAATAAGTAGGAAAAACGAACGGTCAGTTCTTATACGGGACGTCCCACGCAGTACACACACCTCATATCAAATAATTTTACTGTAGCATTTTGGAGAAATGTCACATTATTCGACATTAGAGGCCCATAAATACCTCATTTCTAATAAGTAGTAAAAAATAACTGTCAGTTCCTGTAGGGGACGTCCCATACAGTTTACACATCTCATATCAAACCATTTTACTGTAGCATTTTGGAGAAATGTCCCATTATTCAACTTCAGAGGCCCATAAATACCTCATTTTCAATAAGTAGAAAAAAATAACGATCAGTTCTTATACGGGACGTCCCATACAGTACACGCACCTCGTATAAAACCATTTTACTGTAGCATTTTGGAGTAATGTTACATTATTTTACTTCAGAGGCTGATAAATTCCTCATTTCTAATAAGTAGAAAAAACGAACTAACTGTCAGTTCTTATATGGGACGTCCCATACAGTACACAAACCTCATATCAAACTATTTTACTGCAGCATTTTGGAGAATTGTCGCATTATTTGACTTCAGAAGCCCACAAATAACTCATTTCTAATAAGTACAGTTTACACACCTCATATCAAATAATTTTACTGTAACATTTTGGAGAAATGTCCCATTATTTGCCTTCAGAGGCCTATAAATACCTCATTTCTAATAAGTAGAAAAAAACTAACTGTCAGTTCTTATAGGGACGTCCCATACAGTACACACACCTCATATCTGTAGCAAATGCAACATATAAATATAGCTGCGAGCAGCGATTGCGGGCCCAAGCCGGTGGCACCGTAACCCCGATGCCTTTAGTTACCCAAAGGCACCGGGATGGTGGTACCGCCGGCTTTGGCGCTTTATCGCTGCTCACATCTATATTTATATTTAATATAAAGCCGGTGGCACCGCCACCTTGGTGCCTTTAGGGTTATTCTGTACGACGTGTAAAAACGTAACCCCCGCTTTGACTATCAAAAAGAAGTGTATTGTAGAGCTTGCATCAATGCGGACTCGATGCGCTGTGCGCTGTAACTCCATGTGGCTTTAAGCGCATCATTCTCCACTCGGGATGCGCATAAGCGTTTTGTGCCACACTGTACTGAGCCTTTCATATCATAATGCAGTGACGCAATGACAGATTATTAATTGCCTTTCTTGTTCTGTTCTATCTATTATATGTTGATAATAGATAGGACAGAGCACTAAAAACCTCAAACAAAGCACTAAAAACTTAAGCTGTTTGCTGTGTAGTCGGAGAATGAGCTGTTTGATTTGCACCCTCTTCCTCTTCACTGTCCTCCATAAAAACCAGCTATTCAGGTCCATGTTGTTCTAGAAAGTTTGTATGTTGCTGCCTCAATTAACATCTCTGCTATACATTTAAAACATGGCTATATCTAAAATAATTTATCTTTTTGATTTTTGTTATCTTGTTTTTCATGAATATTTTACAACAATACAAAGAGCAATGTGTATTTTCCATTAATATAGTTTGTAATGGCTTTTTTTGTCATAGATTATAATCATATATTTTTTGGATTTGTTATTTATCTTTATAATGAAGTTGTCTGTATTAAGTAGATTGTGTTTAACACACACAAGAGTGATTTATTAGTTCAACACATAGTTATAGAAATTCTACTTTATCTAAAAAAACCCTGCACTTTACACACACACACACACACACACACATTCTGACGGAGGCCCCCTAATGGGGTCCACAAGTTTTTTTATGCGTTGTGGGATCCACCCTTTGCAGTGGTCCTACACTGCTGTAAAAAATAACATTAGATCTAAAAAAAAATCTAAATCATTAATATCACTTCAATTTGACAAATTTCTAAAGTTTTGTCCAAAAAGGTATTTGGCCCCTTGTGGGCCCCGTTTCTAGGATTGCCGACTTGTGGGGTCTGCCCACATACACACATACATACCAAGTTTTTATATGTTAATGGGGCCCAAGGTCACTATCTGCAGCTGCTGACACCAGCCTTTATTATTACTCCCAGTTTCCTTATTTTGGACTAAAATAGTTTTGTAATGAGTAATTATAATAATTAAAATGAGTAATTATAGTAATTATGTATATGTGAAACTTTCCATCTGCCTTTACAGATAACAAGACATACGACTTTAAAGACAGTTTTATGACAACATAAATGACCAGTTTTATTTTAATGACAGTTTATGCCACACAGTTGTCAGTCAAACTTTTTATGAAATGATTAAAACAAATTTTTGTTTTTAAACAACAAACAAATTACATTTTAGAAAGTTAACAAATTTTGAAATCATGATACACAGATATTTAAAGAAATGAAAAATCCTTGAAATGTGAAATATTTAACATATTCCCAACACACTTTCAGTGTTCAGGCCCTAAAATAAATAAAAAAAGATATTAAAATAAACAAGAATAAATCAATATCCATCCAACATCCATCCATCCATCCAACATCTACCCTTTATTCATCCATCCAACATCTAGCCTACATCCATCCTTCCAACATCCATCCTACATCCATCCTTCCAACATCTACCCTACATCCATCCTTCCAACATCTACCCTACATCCATCCTTCCAACATCTATCCTACATCCATCCTTCCAACATCTATCCTACATCCATCCTTCCAACATCTATCCTACATCCATCCTTCCAACATCTACCCTACATCCATCCTTCCAACATCTACCCTACATCCATCCTTCCAACATCTATCCTACATCCATCCTTCCAACATCTATCCTACATACATCCTTACCAACATCTACCATACATCCATCCTTCCAACATCTACCCTACATCCATCCTTCCAACATCTATCCTACATCCATCCTTCCAACATCTATCCTACATCCATCCTTCCAACATCTACCCTACATCCATCCTTCCAACATCTACCCTACATCCATCCTTCCAACATCTATCCTACAGCCATCCAACATTCATTACCTCAGTTCCAGTGCTTTTCACACTAGACTTTTCTTCTCAGGGCTGTAATGTGATTTTTAACATATATTTAACTGCTTTCCAGTCTCTATTTCTGAGAGCTTGAGGTTCTGCAGTAATGCAGCGCTGACATTCTTCTTTCCCAGGAACTTGATTCATTGATTCTTGATTCAATCCCCAAAAATTCATCCATCCATCTAATATCCACCCTACATCCATCCAACATTCATCCAGCCATCATCTACTCTACATCCATCCAACATTCATCCATCCAACATCTTCTCTACATCCATCCAACATTCATCCAGGCATCATCTATCCTACATCCACCCATCTCTCAAAAATCCATCCAACATCCATCCATCCATCTATTCAAAAATAAAATTAAATAAGTGCTGTGAAGAACTGTGAAATGTGTAAAAAAAAAGAAAAAGAAAATTTGAAGGCCACTGGACACCCATAAAACCTGAGCAAACCCCTACAACAAGGTTACAACAGAACACAACCAAAGACTAAAATTTTAAGATCCTACCTCAAATCTTTTGGTTTTACCTCAGTTCCATTGCTTTTCACACTAGACTTTTCTTCTCAGGGCTGTAATGCGATTTTTGACATAATATTTAACTGCTTTCCAGTCTCTATTTCTGAGAGCTTGAGGTTCTGCAGTAATGCAGCGCTGACATTCTTCTTTCCCAGGAACTTGATTCATTACAATAAATCTCCTCAAATGTGTGTCCACGGCAGCACACTCGTCTGGGGTCCAGCTTCTTTTGACGGCCGTTTGTTTTCCTATGTAGGCAAAAACACAAAACATTGTAGGTTTTCTTTTATAAATACATTTTTATCTTACTTAACCCTGTAAGACCCACTGTTTCAGAATTACATCAATTGTGGTTATTCCCCAAAACCCCCTTTGTCTTTTTTAATTGTTTGTTTTCCACATCAATATGATCTGTGGGTCCTACATTTTATTCCCACCACGTAATTGAATCCAGGATTTGTGTACAAAGCCCACCCTTAAGTCAAGAAATGACACATCCAACAACTTTCTGATCAAGCAACATCCCTTTGATTTACTGGACTGGATTCATCTTCAAGTAAGTAAAATGCTTGGAATATGTTTTTCTGTGTTTATTACAGTGTCTAGAGCAACTTGCGCCATGATGTTATTTTGGAATGATATGCAGAAGTTATCTGCGGTGTCCAGAGCCGTTGTCAAGCCCTCTCCTTCCTGCCACCAATCAACGCGCCCCTCATTTGCATTATTAAAATTACTGCCCACGACAGCCAAAATATCGCATCAGATCTCGCGAGACAATAATGCATTCAGAAATAAGGGTCATATGAGCTCTGTGTTTATTTTTTTTTTTCACTTTTCTTTTTTAGAAGGGCCTGAAAGACTATAATAGAGCGTGGGTATCCAAGGTAATACGAGGTTATGACTCCTTTAAGGTGAACATCTTGAGGGGAACTTAAATGAAAATGTTCACAACAAATTATACATGATTTAAACATTATACCCTTTAGCTTTTTGTCAGATTACATATTCTTTACTGTATTAGAGACTACAGTTGAAAGATATATTGCAATATCTAAACATTGGAATTTGCTATCACATTCTGCAGGACTTTCTAACAAAGAAATTCTGTTTGCACAAAATGTTCTCATCAATTTATAGTCAAAGTGCTTATTATCATTAGGCCAATAACCTTTATTTAACCAGGTCTGACCCATTGAGACCCAAGATGTCCTCTTATGTAAGAGACACCTGGCCAATCCTCCAAGCGGTGCTTTGTTCTGACACAGGTGTAAATGTTCATCACTGTTAGATTTTGTTGTAAACTGGACGGTGAATGCATTCCTGTAAGGATTACAATCACAGTCTACTATAGGTGAGCCATTAGGTATAATGTGACCGGTGAGATGTGTGAATAGGCTGCTTTAGTCCAAAGTGTGAACACGTCATAATGAGGCATGTGTGCTATTTGTATATACAAATGTACATTTGTTTCAATTTTATCTATTTCTTTTCAGAATGCCACCAGCAAAGGAGAAATCCTCGGTACAATGTGCACAATGTAATCCAAAAGTTTGTGTCAGAAGATTTGGTTCAAGCTCTGGCAACAAATACGAATGAGTACAGCTTTCAAAATGACGAAAGATCAGTCAACACTAATACAAAAGAAATACAGGCAGCATTGGGCATGTACCTGAGGATGGAACATTACATTTTGTAAACAATTTAACCTTGCCAGAGACTGACAAGAGGGACAAACTCTGGAAACTCAGACCACAGCTTGATTCAAAACTGCCTGCAGATGGTACCAGAAAAGCACATTCCATGGACAAGATGATGATCCCCTTCAACAGGAAGTTCAGCGGCATCAAGAATTATATGCAAGGTAATCTACGCTCATGGGGCTTTGAAGTATGGGTGAAAGCTGGAATCTCTAGCATGATGCTTGACTTTGATGTTTACCAAGGGAGCAACAATGAAGTACGAGTCAAATCTAAACTTGGATTGTCAGGTGGTGTTGTAATGAAGCTTGCCTCCACATTTCCAAAGGGTCAACACAACAAGATCTAGGCAGACAACCACTTCACCTCCATTCCACTGGTAGTGAAGCTCCTTGAGGAAGGAATGCATTATGTGTGAACAGCCAGGCAAATGCATCTACCGAACAGTAATCTTTACATGCGAAGAGCTTGAAGAAGAAGGGCAGAGGAAGCTTTGACCACAGAGTGGTGGGGAAACAACATCTGTGCTGTCAAATGGTACGACAACAGGGCGGTGACACTTGTGTCATCCTTCGCTGGACCAGGACCTGTTCAGGAGATTCAAGACTGGGACAAAGCCGCCAAAACCTACATTGACGTTAGAAAGGCTTCCATTGTGGGCATCTACAATAAATACATGGGAGGTGTGGATCTGTTGGACTCATTTACAGCAAATCACAAGTATGCACTGAAATCCTGGTGGTGGTACATGTGCATCTTCTGGCATACAATCACCCTTACTGTGGTCAACGCCTGGCTCCTCTACAAGCAGCACAGCCTATGCTCTCAGGATGCCAAAGAAGGAGATACTGAACATGAGAAAGTTCCAAGCACAGCTGGCTTCCTCTCTCATTGCGGTAATGATCTATTTGTGCTATTTACCTTGTTCGTGAAAAATCAGACTGGTATTTCAGATGTACATAAATTGAGACATTTGTTCTTTAGATTCTAATCTGGTGGACAGAACACTGAAAACGCCAAAGAGAGGACGGCCATTTTCAGCCAACAAGAGCCCAGAGACAGGAGCCCTCTGAATGGTGGAAAGAGACCACACATGGATGATGGAAGTCCAAAGGCTCCCTCTTCTAAAAAGTCACGCAAACCACCGCCCATGGACGTGCGCATGGACCAAACTGGACATTTCCCCCTGAAGACAAAGAGAGGGCTCTGCAGATGTTGCAGTAAAGGGTACACCAATACCCAAAGCAGCAAGTGTGATGTCCGCCTCTGTTTTTCAGAGGACAGGAACCGTTTCTGGGATTACCACTATAGAGAAGAGAGAACACTGCAGACGTTGCACTGTTAACAATGTAAATAAATAAAGTTCTTATTTGTTGGAATAAACAACTCTTCATAATAACATGACTGAGATTATTATTCATTTTATACACTGGTTTGAGACTTGGATGAAGGAACACTAGCAGTTAGGAGGTATTTAAGGTGATGGGAGGTTGTTGGAGTTTTTCAACTGGTCACTGTACACCTCTGTCGTTGGAGGAAATACAAGCATTTTTCCTGAATAACTCCATAAAGTGTTAAAGATTTTTTTTTTATTTAATAGAACAGACTTCTTATTGATATAAAGGTGATAATGGCAGTCTTTCCCCAACCCTGGCACCGGACAGTAAGGAGGGACAGACATATTTAAAGTGTTGAGTCAAGGAAGCAAAGTAAAAGACCTTAAAAAATAAATGAGCAACTCTGGCCCAAAAGAGAGAGCAAGCCCCAAAGCTTACCTCTTTTTTTTGCAGACACACTCCGGTTTTGGACTTGTGATGTGGAGGGACATTCTTGCAGGGATGACACGCTGAGCTCATCTTCTGACCCCTCTTCTCTTGGCATACTGACATCTGGACAAAGAAATAACTTTATTGTAGTATACACAACATGAAATACGTAATAGCCGTCAGTACAGTGGTTGTGTTATTTTATAAAATAATTCAGTTTATTTATATAGCCCCGATTCACAACAGATGTCGTCTCGAGGCACTTAACAAGAAGTCAGTATATGGGATTTGTGTCCCTTACAGAGACACTGTTTATTTCATCCCATCTCCTATCGTCCTAAATTCTTCTCAAGTGACTAGTGACGTGAAAATATTAGTTTTCATGTTAGCCCAGGGATGAGCAACTCCAGTCCTCAAGGGCCACTATTCTGCAGGTCTGAGATGTTTCCCTGCTTCAACACACCTGATTCAAATTAAATAGATCAAACAGCTTGTTGCCAAGCTCTGCAAAATGAATCAGGTGTGTTGCAGCAGGGAAACATCTAAGACCTAAAGGATAGCGGCCCTCAAGCAGTACATTTCCTCATATAGTATACGGACGACAGACCGTTCCCACGCAGTCCACTAGTGCTGAAGTAGCTGCGCGCTGTAAAGATTGTATGTTGGACAATAAAAGATGAACTGATTTCATCAGACAGAGAGCGACTGTAGTTACCATCACAAGTAGCATTAACGTTTAGGTTAGTGTGCCCTCACCTACTGTTTATAGGTTGCTCCAATCTCACGGCGCAGACTTCACGCAGGGATTGCACGGCTACTCAAACATTTGTCCTCCTCAACTGTGTACGAGTACACGGTTACAGCGAGTCGAGTACGAATACGCAGATGAGGAGGTAACATGTCAAGACGACACGGCTGTACGAGTTTATTTGATGTCATCTAACCCGATGGCATGTGCGTTTGAGCCAGTGATGAGGAGGAGAGTTGAGAGACCCGGTTTTTGCGGAAGTTGAGGGAGCTGCAGTGGCTCCGGAGGAGAGGGTCGGCAATCCTTTGCAGTGCAAGTGCAGTCACTGCGATCAACCGTGGAGTCTGTTTGCTGCCATGAACCAGACTTGGATAATGTGCTCAGGGAATTGTCCTGCATCACCTTATCCAGCTCATTTCAGATGTTCTGTAGTGACAGGGATGTGTTGGAGTAGCTGTGCTATCCCTGTATGAAGTCCGTGCCGAGAGATTAGAGCAACCTATAAGCAATAGGTGGGTTCACGCTAACCACAAAATGAATGCTACTTGTAATTTCAGGCAGTACTGAAGCAGTGTTCAGTTTTAAAACTGGGGTTGTGTTTGACTGATTGTGCAGCCTCTGCATCAGACAGGTCTCCTGACAGAGTTGCAGGAGAAAGAGGTGGGTAGGACAAAGAAGGGAGATGGAGTTGTTGATGTTCAATTTTTTGCCAAGTGCCGTGTGAAATGCACGAAAGGAAAGGTAAGAATTGCGTTCAAGCTCACCGGTTGAAGACACTCTCTGGTTTTGACTTTGTGATGTGGAGGTACATTCTTGCGTGGATGATATGAGCTCATCGTCTGACCCATCATCTCTTAGCATACCGACATCTGGAGAGGGAAATAACTCATGAATACACAAAATATCTAAAACGGATCATTTAGAATCAATTTAGGAACATCGTATACACATACCTTCAATATCCTCAGCTAAAGGTCCCTCCATGTCAATGGTCTCTAAAATGACAATTGATAAAAAATTGAGATTGGAAAGCTGAAACTATGGGCAATCTGCAAGAGTATACAACAGTAGTATTATCTCTCATCCCGTCACTATTACTGCCCTATGCTTTACATTGCAAATAGTTGTTTTCTGAATGCGGAAGACTAAATGTCATATATTGTGCCTTCAGGAATATAAAGTTAATTACCATTCACATCGACTTGTATTTCATCGAGGCTCTTTCCTTTGTAATCTCCTAGGCGTCCTTGTTCCATTGCGAGGAGGACTTTACTCACTTTGGCTAATTGGAGGGTGCTTTCTGGGAGCCTGTAGTGTTTCCTGTGAACAGCGATATTATGACCGAGGAAGTCTGCCAACTGGTCGAGCTCGGTGGTTTTGAGGTTCAAAACAGTAGACAGGGTAGCAATATGTTTCCTCAGTTGAATTGATTTTAGCGCTTGAGGATTTTTTATGTCACCGCATTCACTGACAAATTGCCTCATGCAGTCACAAGCCCTGAGGTAATGGGCAGATTGTGGCAATGCAAACAGATATTCATTGTCCTTCAGCACCCCACATACTTCTCTGCACTCAGTAAGAGCATCAAGTGATTCTCTCATTAATGGGGTTAGAAGAACTGGAACCTTCCTTCCTCTTTTTCCAACAATTGCTATTCGCACGAAATGCCTGCAGAGCTTCTGCTCAAGCGGTGTGAGGGCCAAATTTACATCTCCCTGTTCCTCTGATGTGTCTTTCGATAAGTATGCAGACAGGTGCATTCGGGACACTTCACCTGCTCTCCGCCGATTAAAAAGCATAACTTGAGTCAACGTTACTTTTGCAAGTTCCTTCCAATTTGTGGATGAATGATGTTCTTTTAAATCTTTGAGATGTTGCTGCTGTTTTTCTTCTAGATAGCAATGTAGCTTTTGGATATCTTGTGTAAGAGGTAAAAGTTGCGGTGCATTCCATTTGGCCCGGTTAAGCTGGGTTAATGCCTGGCCTGCAATATCAAACCTCCAACTCTCTAAATACAACTGTGCGAACTCCTCAGCATCTTTAATGGTTTCCTTATCTCTCTTTTTCAGTCCTTCGGACTTGATAAACATAGCCAACGAATGCAGGCTGTGTCCTACCTTGCGTGCAAGAGATGGACATTGGTATATCCCAGTTTCCTCACTGAATCCAGATAGGTTCTTTGCAGCTCTGACAACCTGTGAGTACTGTTCAGGTTTGATGAGTTCTTGAATGGTCCTCACACGTGTGATTTTTTTAGCTTCCAATAAAAGCCTGCCAAGTTCTCGCAGTTTTTGGCGTATATACTGGTGTTGACTGACTATCTTCTCATTCTTTTTGAACAACCTGAACCCATAATTGAGGATGCAGTTGTCTCCTTTAATTGCAACTGTGATCTCGTCCTGAATCATTACACTCAAGAACTTCCAATACGCATCTGTATATTCTGATGGAGAAGGTTCAGCGAAAGCACATAATGCCTGAACTCTATTTTTACCAGGTTTAGCATTTTTGGGTTTGAAGCTGCAGACCTTGAAATGCCGCCACATCGCTCTTCTTGAGAACAGCCCATAGCAATGAATGCAATGTGCAAATTTATGTCCGTCTGACTTTTTTACTGGTTGTTTACATGGGATTAGTTTTCCTTTTTTTTTTTCCAAAACATGACTGTTGTGCTCGAAGTTTCCCTTATTTCGTATGTAGTCCAATTGTAGTTTTCTTTCCTTTGAGTTTTTTGGTAAACTGAATGCTTTCGCAACATCCGATTCATCTTGGTGTTTACGCCATAAGTGTCTTGACATTTTCTGGACAAACTTCTTGCAATAAAAGCAGAAATGTTTCTTGTTATAGCTTCTGGATCCGTCATCTTTCTTTAAAGTTGGACTGACAATCATGTACTGCTCTTCTTCCAGGGGCACTGAAACACTGTTTTCAGAAAATGTTGCGATTTCCTTTTCATTCCCATCAACTCTGCTATTTGGAAATCTTTGTGTGGGATCATGACATCTTTCCAAAAGTCTTCTCTGGCTAAAGTCAAATTGGCTATGACTAGAGGACTCGCTTCCACTCTCTCGGGAGGATCTACTTCCACTCTCCATGGACTTAGACTTGCTCTGTCTGGAGGACTCGCTTCCACTCTCTCGGGAGGATCTACTTCTTTCTCTGGGCTTAAACTTGCTCTTACCGGATGATGCACCTTTCTTCTTTTTTTCCTTTTCCAGGGTTAATTCCATACTGCTATCACTTTCTGTGCTGTCATCCCTGGGATTTGGAATATACTCCTCTTCGCTACCTAAGTTTGAGTCATCTGATTCCACGAGATTCATCTGAATCTTTAAAAACAAACACAAATCTGTTAATACCTATTTTTTCAAAATTACATATAAAAACCTGAGTATACTGATTGAACAGGGTCAGGATACTAAATGAAGAAAAATCTGTATGGACCATTTTCAATACAAGTACATTTTTAAATTAGAAGAATCCCCATTAGACTCACTAGCAAGAGCAACTGCCCAGCCCCAGCCCAACCCAGCCCTAGACCAGCCCTAGCCCCAGCCCAACCCAGCCCTAGCCCCAGCCCTAGCTCCAGCCCTAGCCCCAGCCCTAGCTCCAGCCCTAGCCCCAGCCCTAGACCAGCCCTAGCCCCAGCCCTAGCCCCAGCCCTAGACCAGCCCCAGCCAAAAAAAAAAAAAAAAGACTTACGGGACGGCAAGACCTTCTTCTCAGCTTCTGTGAAACCCTTTCAGGATTAAAAAAAGGAGTCTCCTCTGCACTGTCACTACTTGAGTCATGGAGACCGTGTGTAAAATCTTGTACTCTATCCATCTGCAAAAAGGGAGACATGGAGATGTTTTGTTGTATGATTGCTGTATTTTTAATTGATAGGGAGACCATTCAGGGGTTGTCAGGTGAGCTAGACACCTATGAAAATTATTGACCAATATTACCCCTCCATCAACCTGCTGAGGCCCATGTCCAAACTGCCTTCCAGGTGAAGTAAACGTTGACAAAATTATTTAAAAAAAAAAAAGAGTAACATTTCAGTTTTCATCCATTTAATTGTTAAAATTAATGACTTCACAAGAATGATTCATCATAATAATATAGTGTCATTCCTGTAGACATGGAACTACTCCAGAGAGAGGGAGAGATTAGTCAATAATTTTCCAAAGTGTCTTCCTCACCTCACAATTGTCTCCCTATCAATTAAAAATCAGCAATTAGTCAGAAAAGAAAAGAAGAGTTGAGCTTCTCTAATAAATGATTACTGATCGATTGTTGGTGAACTCTATTTAATTGATAATTTAATGCACCAGGTGAGGCAGAGGACTCAACCAGATTTTGGCAACAGAGACCGGCCACTAGGCACGTTGTATCTTTTTTTTTTTTTTTAAACACACCTGAGCGCTGATCACTGGACATCACTCCTGCAGGTGTTTATGCCAGTCCAATAGATTCAATTTCAAATGAGTCCATTTAAATTCAGATTTTAAAAGCAATTGTTCAAAACAATCGATTCAGGTTCAAAGTGAATGATTCCCATTCAAATATAAAATAATTCAAATTCACTTACTAGTGGCACAAAAATTATCACATAAGCAAGTTAATTATATTGTTAAAATGTGTTTCGGGGCATACCAGAATGCTTTTTGTGCGTCTCAGCCGTGGAACAAGTTCATCATCCGATTCATTGTTGGAATGGTTGCTTGAAGAAGCCTCATCACAAGTTTCTTTCACAACAGTTTCATCTGAATTGTACAAATGATCTGAAACATCTGGGCCAATATCATTCTGCCCTATAATAACATCCAGGTGTGGGGTGGGAGGTTCGTTTTCCATACCATCCTCATCAGTTTCATCACTATCTGGATAATCAACCAGTGAAAATCCTTGGACAGTAAATACCTAAAAAATAAACAAAAATGTATTAAGTATGGAATTAGAAAGGTTGGCCAAAGAAACATGGCATGGTCTGACTAAAAATCTAAATCCAGAAATGTGAACACCAACCCTTTTAGACAGTGTAGAATTATAAATGTTAAAATCAGAGTACAGTTATACTGAAGTATTACAATACTATCATATAGTTGCCTGAGGAAGACCATTTGGATCCCCACGTTGGTAACACTTTATTTGAAATGGTGTGCATAAGACTGACATAACACTGTCATAAACTTGACATAACACCTGTCATGAACATGAAGCAGTCTTTATGAATGTTTATGACTTTTGTCATTAAGTGTCATTCGATAAATTATGACACTTTTAATGCAAAGTGTGTGACGTTACCTGGCCTTTAACAGCCAATATAAAGCAACATAAGCATTGGTCCACTTTAGTAATAGAACGCCACATACATGTCAGCATAGATGAAGTGTTTGAAAGTACTTTTACCTCTGAGCAGGTCTGATCTGGGTTTGGTCCATCATTTAGCATCTGAGGAACAGGGCTGGTCTCATTCTTTACTGCGGCAGCAGGAGTCTGAAGGCCTTTCACCTGAAATAGAAAGACATGAAGAGAATCAGAACTGTATGAAGAGACATTCACAGGTTAATACGGTCATCTAATGGTGAAACAGCACTGAACTTTGTGGACTAAAAAGCAGCTCACGTCTATTCCAGGAGTTTAGAGTGGATCAAATGAAAATATTTCCTTAAAACATCTAACAGCTCAGATACAGATACAATTATGAATGTTAAAATCATAGTTGAGGTCTTGTCAGGTGTTGCTATAGTGCATTAAAAGCACTTACAGTAAGAACTGGACGGAAGGGCCCCACAAGGGTCTGACTAAAGACATACAAATGTGTAAAGGAGAGACTAGAGAAACAAGTGTATTTGGAAGATGGAAGGAAGGACCCCATAAGGACATGACTGGAAACATGACGGTGTGTGTGACGTTACCTGGCCTTTAACAGCCAATATAAAGCCACATAAGCATTGGTCCACTTTAGTAATAGAACGCCACATACATGTCAGCATAGATGAAGTGTTTGAAAGTACTTTTACCTCTGAGCAGGTCTGATCTGGGTTTGGTCCATCATTTAGCATCTGAGGAACAGGGCTGGTCTCATTCTCTACTGCGGCAGCAGGAGTCTGAAGGCCTTTCACCTGAAATAGACAGACATGAAGAGGATCAGAACTGTATGAAGAGACATTCACAGGCTAATACAGTCATCTAATGGTGAAACAGCACTGAACTTTGTGGACTAAAAAGCAGCTCACGTCTATTCCAGGAGTTTAGAGTGGATCAAATGAAAATATTTCCTTAAAACATCTAACAGCTCAGATACAGTATACAATTATGAATGTTAAAATCATAGTTGAGGTCTTGTCAGGTGTTGCTATAGTGCATTAAAAGCACTTACAGTAAGAACTGGACGGAAGGGCCCCACAAGGGTCTGACTACAGACATGTGAGTGTGTAAAGGAGAGACTAGAGAAACAAGTGTATGATGGAAGGAAGGACCCCATAAGGACATGACTGGAAACATGACGGTGTGTGTGACATTACCTGGCCTTTAACAGCCAATATAAAGCCACATAAGCATTGGTCCACTTTAGTAATAGAACGCCACATACATGTCAGCATAGATGAAGTGTTTGAAAGTACTTTTACCTCTGAGCAGGTCTGATCTGGGTTTGGTCCATCATTTAGCATCTGAGGAACAGGGCTGGTCTCATTCTCTACTGCGGCAGCAGGAGTCTGAAGGCCTTTCACCTGAAATAGACAGACATGAAGAGACTCAGAACTGTATGAAGAGACATTCACAGGCTAATACAGTCATCTAATGGTGAAACAGCACTGAACTTTGTGGACTAAAAAGCAGCTCACGTCTATTCAAGGAGTTTGCAGGGGATGAAATGAAAATATTTCCGTAAAACATCTAACAGCTCAGATACAGTATGCAATTATGAATGTTAAAATCATAGTTGAGGTCTTGTCAGGTGTTGCTATAGTGCATTAAAAGCACTTACAGTAAGAACTGGACGGAAGGGCCCCACAAGGGTCTGACTAAAGACATACGAGTGTGTAAAGGAGAGACTAGAGAAACAAGTGTATTTGGAAGATGGAAGGAAGGACCCCATAAGGACATGACTGGAAACATGACGGTGTGTGTGACATTACCTGGCCTTTAACAGCCAATATAAAGCCACATAAGCATTGGTCCACTTTAGTAATAGAACACAACCACATACATGTCAGTATAGATGAAGTGTTTGAAAGTACTTTTACCTCTGAGCAGGTCTGATCTGGGTTTGGTCCATCATTTAGCATCTGAGGAACAGGGCTGGTCTCATTCTCTACTGCGGCAGCAGGAGTCTGAAGGCCTTTCACCTGAAATAGACAGACATGAAGAGAATCAGAACTGTATGAAGAGACATTCACAGGCTAATACAGTCATCTAATGGTGAAACAGCACTGAACTTTGTGGACTAAAAAGCAGCTCACGTCTATTCAAGGAGTTTAGAGTGGATCAAATGAAAATATTTCCTTAAAACATCTAACAGCTCAGATACAGTATACAATTATGAATGTTAAAATCATAGTTGAGGTCTTGTCAGGTGTTGCTATAGTGCATTAGAAACACTTACAGTAAGAACTGGACGGAAGGGCCCCACAAGGGTCTGACTAAAGACATGTGAGTGTGTAAAGGAGAGACTAGAGAAACAAGTGTATGATGGAAGGAAGGACCCCATAAGGACATGACTGGAAACATGACGGTGTGTGTGACATTACCTGGCCTTTAACAGCCAATATAAAGCCACATAAGCATTGGTCCACTTTAGTAATAGAACGCCACATACATGTCAGCATAGATGAAGTGTTTGAAAGTACTTTTACCTCTGAGCAGGTCTGATCTGGGTTTGGTCCATCATTTAGCATCTGAGGAACAGGGCTGGTCTCATTCTCTACTGCGGCAGCAGGAGCTTGGGTTTTTTTCAACTGGATTGCAGATAAAGAAGAACTCATTTTAAAAACACATCAAAGACTAAATATTAAATGCATTTCCATAGACAGTCAAGAGTAATATTGGACACATGGTTAATATTGGAGAAATACAAAATTTGCTTTTGCAAAAAAAAAAAGAAAACTCTAAACTTAATCTAACCAACTCACCGTACTGCGCCAAGGCCATTTTGAATCACCATAGTTGTAATCAATTTCATCTCCTATTTCTATTTTCTTCAGAGAAAATAGGCACAAATGTGGTTTGTTGTCAACTATGATTTTTTTCATAACGCAATTCGGATTTTGGTGGTTGTCGTTGACCAAACGTCCAAGAGAAAAATCGTCTTGCGATGCATCCAGGCTGAAAAGTATCAGAAAAATGGTAACAGTTTTACATCTTTTTAAAAGTTTTATTGAAAGAGTTATTTTCAAAAGAATTTAAGAGTATTTGTGCTTAATTCATTCATCAAGTATTAAACCCTTGTTTCAGAGTTAACTCGTAATTTCTATAAATCAATAAAAAAACATCCATCTTTCAATGTTTACCATAAGTGATGATTCTGCCACTGAAAGTCAAAGAGAAATGTGCTTTCAATCTCTGAGTATTTTCTTGACTTGCTTTCCTCCTGTGTGAGGAGTTTACCCCTGTACTCCAACACGAAGTCCCCGGGTTCAATGGGTTGTGTGGCAAACACTCCTCTTCCTACAATAATATATAATAATTAAACATTTCATTCTGGGACTCAAAAAGAGATACTACAGTATTTTCAAAGTGAGGATGAGGTTCTTGCGTCTAGTCAGTGTATTACCTGCAGACAATGATCACAGATTAAGAACGGACCAAACTGTCAGGGACCAGTGGATTAAATTCATTTTTAATGACGCAGTTCCTACAACCTTTCCCACTGGCTTAACATTAGGTGTCTGCGCTAATCATTTTATCATTTGGGATCAATCAAGATGAAAATTTGCCTTAAACTCTAAACTGCAGCTAGTCTACCACAGCAATAGGCATCATCCTGACACTTCAGTAGAATATTCTGACAAAGCACTCTGACAATCTTGCCTGGGCTGTAAATTATCACACTCACTTCGATCACTGTCTGTCTTTGACAAAGGCAAAAACTGTACCTGGTCATTACATCATCAACAACAATACTTTTTTTGCTTCTGAAATGCACAAGTTGTGTCAATGAATCTTCTGCAACTTACCTTTGTAATGGTCAATGAATCTCGACATAAACCCATCCTTGTCAGTGCAAGACAGAATGTATGTCTTTGCATCGTCTATAGGCTTTTTCCTCCTCCTCCTTATGGACATAATGGCTCTGTGAAAATAATTGTAATTCGTAGTTAGTTAAGGCAAATCTCACAAAAAGGTATTCTATTGTGAAAAATAAATAAATAAACAGACATTCATACAAACATTGCAACAGCTGTGTAGCTTTGCTATTGCAGGATGCATATTGTTTAACATCAAACACGGGCTAATGAAATATGCAAATTCTGAAATATGCACAATGAAAGCTGACCGAGCCTGTTGAAACTGAGAAGTTAACTTGTTAGATGATAACCATGTTATGCTGCACAGACACTCAGTAATCAATTTAAACTAGGGCTGTCAAACTTAACTTCTGGTACAGCAGCATGGCGGCGTTGCCACATGACCATTGACTGACAGCATCACATCCTTCCTCATACATACGCGCATGGATGGTTATGGGGGGGACGGGGTCCAGGGTAGGCCGGTACCACCCAGACAAAAAGCTTGGTGAAATATATATATATATATATATATATATATATATATATATATATATATATATATATACACTGTCTACCAGTCAAAAGTTTTAGATCAGTAAGATTTTTTATGTTTTTAAATGAAGTCTCTTCTGCTCACCAAGGCTGCTTTATTTGATGAAAATGTAAAAAAACAAACGGTAATATTGTGAAATATTATGACAATTTAAAATGACTGTTTTCTATTTTTATACATTTTAAAATGTAATTTGAAAGCTGAATTTTCAACATCATTACTGTTGCTGATTACACATCAGTTTTCAGTGTCACATGATCCTTCAGAAATCATTATAATATGCTGATTTTATGCTCAAAAAACAAATTATTATTTTCAACGTTGAAAACAGTCGTGTACCATTTCACCCCAAAATTCTATGATGAACAGAACGTTCAAAAGAACAGCATTTATTTAAAATATAATCTTTTCTAACATTATAAATGTCTTTACTGTAACATTTGATCAATTTAACTCATGCTTGATGAACACAAGTATTTTCTCATTTCTTTCCCCCAAAAATAAAAAAATAAATTCTTACTGACCCCAAACTTTTGAATGGTAGTGATTAATGTTACAAAAGCTTTCCATTTCAGATAAATTCTGTTCATTTACACTTTCTATTCATCAAAGAATCCTGAAATAAAAATGTAAAAAAAAAAAACTGTTGCTGATGATGCTGTAAATTCAGCTTTGATCACAGGAATAAATTACACTTGACTATATATTCACATAGAAAACTGCTGTTTTAAATTGTAATATTTCACAATATTACTATTTTATATTATATTATATTTTAATATATTATACTATAATATATTACTATATTATATTTTTTATCAAATAATAGCAGCCTTGGTGAGCAGAAGAGACTTCTTTTAAAAAACATAAAAAATCTTACCAATCTAAAACTTTTGCAAAGTAAATTTGGAAAAAAAATTATATTATTTTCTCTCAGCTGTCCTGCTCTAACGAACCACCTGCGGGTAGGATGTTATTCCAAAACGGCACCGTACATTAGCTTCAGTCCTGCGTTAGCTTCTGGCTAACCTCCATTAGCGAGTCCTGCCCTGTCTTGTTTACAATTCACAACCGATTCTACCTTTAACGACACGATTTCACTGCACCCCGTCTCTGTCCCGCTGTCATGTCCGTGGTGACGCTATTAGATTATGCCAACAGCTAATATTATGTCGCTAAAGTTAGCTACATGGCAGCTAAACGAGGTAGCAAACATCACGATGTAACGCCAAATATGAACTCACCATAAAAACCTCACAATTCACAACCAACTCTACTTTTAACGACACTTCACTGCACCCCGTCTCTGCCCCGCTGTAATGTCCGTGGTGACATGTTATTAGGTTAAGCTAACTGCTAATAGTAATATTATGCCGCTAACATTAGCTAAATTGCAGCCACAAACATCACGATAAACTATAACGCCGAAATAAACTCACCATGAAAACCATGCCTAGCTTACCTGATTGGATGCAGAGGTCGGTGTTTGTAAAAATGTTCTGATTTCCAACCCGTCTTCTTCTGTCTTCAATCTTCTATCCTTGAAGTCGTCTTCTTCTTCTACGTTACTTGTGCAATTTCCGCAGTTTTCCTTACTTTCGCGGGAATCGCGGCTGATTGTACAGTGCTGTAATTTCATTGGCTAAAGGTTTCAGATTCCCGCGGTGTGTATTCGATTTCGCGGGAAGTGTAAACCTGACTTCCGGTGAAAAAAAAGCTCGACGATACACACCTACACACAATTACCCACTTTTTGCTACCTTATGGGCCACTTTTTAGAGATGGAAAAAAAAGCAATGGGAGCATCAGGGGAAGCTGCTGAGCTTATTTAAATTGAAATCGGAGTGGGGTCCACCATTTTGGGCCCCACTCCGATTTTGGGACTCCTTAGGTGGGTGTGCTCCCACCGATGGGGACCCACACCGACGTATTTGTAAGTACACACACACACACACACACACACACACACACACACACCACACACACACACACATAAATACATGTAAATAAAAATCCAAAAAAAAAAAAACATCAAATGTGTTTTTAGTCAGAGTATTATTTTATACAGAAACAAATATATGTAATTCAGATAAGAATGAAGTTAGTGTTTTAAAATCTTAAGGAAAACAAATATATTGAAATATAGCACATGAATTTTAAATTCATTCAACTTCAATTACAAATACAATCTTACTTTTATTTAAAGCAAACTATACATTTAAAAGATGGGGGTTATATGCCTATTTTGTCATTTAAAAATATTGTTATGCAAAATTGTTATGCAAAAAGACAAGGACTTAGAGACAAGGACTTGTAGGAAAAATCGCAGCCAGCCACACACACACACACACACACACACACACACACACACACACACACATAAACACAGACAACAGCCCTCCCTCCCCACACAGACACACACCCCCACACACACACACACAGAGAGAGAGAGAGAGAGAGAGAGAGAGAGAGAGAGAATCGCAGGGGAAATAAATCCATTCAAACTACAATATCTGACTTTCTGTTGCTCAGAGCGAATGACTTTAAATTGGAAAGTTGATCGGCTTGACGAGAACAATATACGTGGTAAGTTTTGTAACTGTAGGTAAATTGAGCAAAGTTATAACACACTTTATGTGTCCTTTTTTAGTCATAAAATTCATTTCCTCGCCACGGCCAGACCGTTCGAGATATCAAAAATCCGTCCGGAATTGAGCATCCTCAATGTCTTGACTTCATGCACACCGAGTTTGGTTGTGATTGGTAAACACATGCATTGTGATTTGATGTATTTCTCCTAGGACAATTATTCAAACAACCCATAATTCATAATTCATAAATAACTTCCATTTGAACTGTCATAAAACTTAGAGCACGAAAGTTGTTTGGCCTGATGTGATCTTTAATTGTACCGAGTTTCATATTAATTCATGCAAGTGTGTTTGATTTATGGACAAATTTTCGAATCCCAGTCCAGGGGGCGCTGTCGAGCCGCCCTGCCACGCCCGGTTACCAGCTTCAGCCCGGCCCTGATGGCCATGGGTTCTGACCCGTGTGCAAAGTTTCAAGAGTTTTAGAGGATGTTAAGGCCCCCGAAAATGCCAGAGAAGTTGCACACAGCAAATAAAGGGTTAAAATTAACCTGACAGGCGCCCCTCCTCTCACTCACACAGAGAGACACTGAGAGACTGGCAAAATTCTGAGATTTTCTCTACATTCAAACAAACATATCTGACTTTCTGTGGGTCCTAGCTAATGAGTGTCAATTAGAAAGTTGTCCGGCTCGAGGAGTACAATATACATACTGATTTTTGTAACTGTAGATAAAACTAACAACCCCACTTTTGTCAAAAGGTGGCGCTACTGAGCCCTCACCACACCCGTTTCTGAAACGTTGCACATGTCTACTGGCTAATAAATGTGATGTGTCTGTCGAGTTTCATGCAATTTGAAGCATGCTAAGAGTCTCAAAAGCATCCTAAAAGAATGGTAAAGTTTGATGCGTTGCCACGGCAACAGTTTCAAAGATATCAAGAATCCATTTACAGGTCTTCATCTGCCATGTATTTGCATTATACAGATGAAGTTTGAAGCAAATCGGGTTAAAATTAGAGGGTGATTTCAAAGCATTTTGAAAATGACACACTTCCTGCTGCCAGTTGGTGGCGCTATAACTTTGACTCACAATAGTCACATCCATGTGATCGTCCTCTTACAGCGAACACACTGCTGAAGTTTCATCAAGATCGGTTGATGTATGCTGAAGTTATGATACACTTCCTGTTTCACGTTTCTCGCCATATTTTCGTTTCCTCGCCACGGCCAAACCGTTCGAGATATCAAAAATCCCCTCGCAAACTTTCATCCTCAATGTCTTGACTTCACGCTGACCGAGTTTCGTCGAATTTGGATCAAAGCTCTAGGAGGAGTATTAAAAATTCCATTGCGAGTGTTTTACAAACAACCCTAAATAGCCGACTTCCTGTTGGGCTGGGGTAAAAAGTAAAAGCACGAGGTATAGATGAAACGATGAGATCAAAATTTGTACCGAGTTTCATATTATTACATGCAAGCGTGTTTGATTTATGGACCAAGTGTTCGGACCCCGTTCCAGGGGGCGCTGTCTAGCCCCCCTGCCACGCCCGGGTACCATCTTCAGCCTGGCCCTGATGGCCGCGGGTTCTGACCCGTGTGCAAAGTTTCAAGAGTTTTTGAGCATGTTAAGGGCCCCAAAAGTGCCCGAATAGTCGTATAAATAATAATAATAATAATAAATATAGCTGCGAGCAGCGATGGCGGGCCCAAGCCGGTGGCACCGCAACCCCGGTTCCTTTAGTTACCTAAATGCACCCGGGTGGCGGTGCCGAAGGCTTTGGCCCTTTTATGATTAAATGTTAAAACGGCTTGCCATACTCTGTCATTTCGACTAGTCACAATTATGTTACAGATATCTTAAATGATAATACAAACTATCCAAAATGTAATTACGAATAGACAGAAAGACGTTGTTGATATCTACAATGTTAATTCCGGACAGGCAAACTTAGCTTTTAAATGTTAAAAGGGCTTGCCATACAGGGACGTAGGCTCAGAGAGAGGCTCACCATATTCAAACCAAAATATCTGACTTCCTCTTGGTCCGAGCTAATGACTATGTATTAGAAAGTTGTCCGGCTTGAGGAGTACAATGTATATAGCGATTTTTGTAACTGTAGATAAAACTAACAACCCCACTTTTGTCAAAAGGTGGCGCTATTTAGTCCTTGCACTATGCCCGTTTCTGAAACTTTGCACATGTCTACTGGCTAATAAATGTGATGTATCTGTTGAGTTTCAAGCAATTTCAATTTCAATTTCAATTTGACTGTTGAAAAGAAGTGCGCCGATTAGATACTCAGGATCGGTATCGGCTCTGACACTGCCATCTTTGACGAGGCTGATTCAAATTCTATATTGTGCATATATACT